GTGTTAGGCATTTCACTGGGAACTTTCTATTCATTATACCGCTTAATTTTCTCAAAAATATTATGAGGGCAGACTTCTGAATTGGGAGTACTTTGTAAATTATATAATTGTCTAACCATTATACTGTACTCCTGAAACCAATATGAAATAATATTGAAATATCAACTGTAATAGAATATATATATTCTAATATATATATGTAAGCTATATATAAAAATAATATAGAGCTTTGTGCCTGGCACTGTGCTGAATGCCTTTTAGTCATCACTCCTTTTTTTTTTTTTTTTTTTCTCTCTTTATTGATTTTAGAGAGAGAGGAAGGGAGAGGGAGAGAAAGACAGAAACACTGATGAAAGAGAACATCAACTGGCCGCCTCCTGCATGTCCCACACTGGGATTTGCCCCACAACCTGGGCATGTGCCCTGACCAGGAATCAAACTGGCGACCTCTTGGTGCATGGGTCGATGCTCAACCACTGCGCCACACTGGCCCGGCTTTCCTTTCTTTATGTCCCCCTACTCCCTCTGGCAGAATCTGGGGTGAATCCTGAGCTCCAGAGCCTGGAGTGTTTGGAAGAATATATTTGCAAGATAACGACAGCTGAGGATCAGAATGCCATCTTGGAAGCTTTGGCTGCCAAAATGAAACACTCTAAACAAAGTGGTGGAAGACTTTAAACAGAATGGACTCCTCACCGCAATTTTCAAGTGTTGGGGGAATCACAACTGCCCCCTGGAGGGCGATTTTTCTCCCTGCAGGACAGAAAGTAGCCTGGAATGAAAGTTAGGCTGAAAAACAATTTTGTGAATGTTGGCAAGTCAGCAACTCTACACGAAAGTTACATTGAAGCGTGAGGTCTTTAAATATAAACTGAACAAATGAAATTTCCAAACCTAAGGGTCTGATTTCCAGAAGTCAGGTCAATGGATGTGGCGAGTTCGCAGGCGAGAGTGCCTCCTTGTGGCCCGCGAGAAAGTGAGCGTAACTGTTTCGTCCTGGGGACTTCCCTAAGGCAGAATCACTCTCTCCTACTGCTTCGGGGAATCAGGTTCTCTCTCTTTAAGGCAAACACGGCAGAAGGTTAACAGTGACTATATCTAGGTGTGTGTACAGGGAGGGGTAGTATGAGTATTCATTGTACTGTTCTCTCAACTTTTCTGGATGATTGAAATGCATCTTTCATAAAAAGTCATGTTCAAAAAAGAAAAAGAGAGAGAAGCAGAAAGTAAATAAAAGTAGAACAGGCTTAATCACATAGAAAAACAAAAGGACAGTACTTTAAGTAGACTATATTTAGCTTTATGAAAAATTCACTTATTCAACCTTATTTTTCTCACTTTCCCACGCGGGAGTGAAAACCCCTGGGCATCTCCTTGAGGATCAGCACTGGAAACCCCCTTTTCTGGAAAGGCAGCCCCCAGGGCATTTGGTTAAGAGGATGAGTTTGGGGCCAATAACCTTGTTTGGAGTTTGGGCAAATTACTTAAATTGCTTGTGCCCCCGTTTGGTCATCTGTAAAAAAGTGGGTTGATAATAATGAACTTAGTAAAGTTAAGTGACTTGGCCTCTGTCACACACACTAGCTGAGTTTGGTTCCAATGGTAAATTACAGGAAACCCTCCCACTGAAATTCTCCCCTCTCTCCATACCTACAAGTCTTGGTTTAAACTTCTCTTAGAAGCCTCAGTTCATAGTTCTTTGTGTGTCTGTTGGTCTTATTTGAATCGACTGATTTCTAGATACAGGGAGTGTTTCATTTTTCTCAGAGACATAATATTTATTGTGTGAGTGAATAAGTAAAATATAAACACATTGGCCAGAAGAGAGTTTTCCCTAAGAATGCTGTTCAATATTTGTCCTTCTGGGTTACCTCCCATGAGAAGTTTATCAGAAGAGCCAAGAAGCTTCCTAGGTCTTCTTAGCATGTTGAGTTTGGCAGCAAAGCACAAGGCTGAATTTCTCAAGAAATGGTGACTTCAGTTAAGGTTGGTTTTGCAGAATTGGTGGGGTGTTTGCATGTATGATGGGGACAGAAATGCCCATCATCGTGGTAAAGATAATGAACTAAAGAAGCGTGGCTCTGGGAATGGTACCCCAAAACGCGTGCCCACTCCATGAGTAAGGCCAAATTGCTTTCAGCAAAAAGTGTTCAATCTCATGTTCATCAATTATCAGTTACTGCACAAGTGATCGATCAAAACGAAAAGGCAGTTTAAATGTAGAAATCCTTGTCAAGAATTAGGCTTTCGTCTTCGAAAAACATGGGCAGATAGGGCCATCTGGTGTGCAGTTGTGTAATCACACAGTGAATTCTTTTTCTGGCCTCCTCACTAGTAGTAGTAATCTATGTGATTCAGTTGACTTCACAAAAGCAAACCATTCTTTAGACTTCTTAGAGGTACATGTTGAAAATCTTGGATCATTCCCAAACTTACGGCTCCTCAAACCTATAATAATCTTACAAGTTAAACAGGGCTTGTCCTCTGACAGATCCTTGTAAGACCGAAGTCAAAGCCATGTGCAAGCTAAATTCCAAGGGGCACAGAAACTAGGACTAAATAGAGGAAGCCAGTAAAAAGAGAGCAGGAAAATGTAGCCCATGAGCAGACGGAGAAGGAACAAGTGTCCATGAAACCCATGAGAGGAAAAAAGCAAAACGAACAAAAAAATGGCCTCTCCTTGGGCTCCCTCAGGCCCTGATAACATTCTAATTTAGCTCATGTGCACCCTGATCGAAAACTTTTGAACGAGTCTCTGTGGCTTGCAGTCAAATAAGTACGGCTAAAATAATATCCATTTGCGTGAACCCAAAAGGTAGAAATCCTGAAGTCTGGCTTGCCTACTCTCACAGTCCCCAAATGCCTTAGGTAAGGTGCAGAAGAGAGAAATCAAATGAGGTCATTACAAGCATTTGGGAACGTTATTGGTGTCTGGGCCACCCAGCCAGACTTCTGTCAGTTTGTTTCAGTCTCCTGTGGATGAACTAGGAATCGGAGAGGCAGGTGCTCTCAAACAATGCTAGAGAATCTACTTCAGAACCAGCAGTGTCTGAGGACCATCTTGTGAATTTCTGGCCAAAACTGGGCTCTTCAATGCCTTAAATAAATCTCAGCATTTGATTTTTGAGTTAGTAATATATGACATACTGTCAGTGGTGAAAAGTAGTTCTCAACTGGGGGAATAATTGTCAGTGTCTGGAGACATTTTTGGTTGTCACAGCTACGGGAAGGGAGGCATACTGTCATCTAGTGGGTAGAGGCCAGAGATACTGCTAAATGTCCTATAATGCACAGGAAAGTCCCCTACAACAAAGAATTATCTGGCCTCAAATGTCACTAGTGCTGAGGTTGAAAAACCCTGGTGTCCACAGCAGGAGAAATATAGAGGGAATTGTTAAAGTTTGGGAAGAGCAGAGGGTTGGCCTAAAAGTTGAGAATTTTACCAAGGGGACCTCTACCCTGTTTGGGGAAGATACCATACTATAATACCACCTTTTTGCCAAGTCACAGTGCTGGTAGAAGCTCTGGTGAGGGTGAACCCAAGACAAAAATCTAAGTGGTTAGTCCTTGAGGAACTGAGCAGAGGCAGAGATAATGAGTAGAGACACTGAGGCTAATCAGTTTGACTCCATTCACCCGCATTCCCCTCACCACTGGGGGAATTTGTGACCTAATTTCTTATTCATATGTACCAAAGGAATAAATTGGTTTCGGAGACAGGGGCCAGGGATTAAATTCACAGAAGAGCAACAAGTTAATGGTAGCTTATTTAAATGCACATGGATTTTGAAAGTCATATTTCAATAGGTCTGAGATGGAATAGTGGGCCTGTTAAAATAAAAGTATGCTTTCATTAAGTTTGCTTCTGATTTTTCAAAGTAAAATGACTCTCTCCCCTGAAGAGCATACAAAGCAAGAATAGCAGAGAATATCAGTTTCAGGACTTGACGAAAACAAGTAGTAAGTAGTTCTTTTGAAGGAGACTTGCATTCCTCCGAGACCAAGGCCAGAGAAATCATGGTCAGTAGATTTCCTTGTAATGATGGGCTGTGGAGCAAGTTCCAAGCAGGGGATGATCTGGAAAACACCCTGGGCAAGGCCAAGTTGAAGCTATGCTGCCGGTTTTTGACAGAGGACATCGTTTGACAATTGTAGGCGGTCGAAGAGGTCTTCAGAGCAGCCACTTTGTAAATATGGAATTTTGTTTCAAACCAGGTTGATTTATAGAGGGCTAAACCTAAGGTACCACATTTATTCATTCGTTTATTCACTTTATTTAATGAACTTGTTGGTCCAGGCATTTTACTAAGGGCTAGTGACAGAAGCATAAGATGTGGTGCTCTGTCGGTTTAGTTCGGCGTGTGCAGATAAATAATTCTTCGACGTTAGCCCTTTATTACCAACAGACCCATGCTGTGGATGTAGGAGACTTCTCCAAGGCTGGTTAATCAAGTGAGTGAATTTGCATTTTTAAAGGTCTCCAAGCTTTGTAACATTGTGTTTACAGGCACAAATACGTTTGGGAATCAGCCTGGGTGATGGAAAGGTCTGGAAACTATGTGAGCAGGAACGTTCACTCTTCCTAACGTCCTAAAACAAGGACAAGCTAGAGTCCAGAATATCAGCATCCTGCCATCCTTTCTTTCTGCTCCTCTGCGTAGGCTGGCTGGGCCTGGACTACATTTCCCAAGATGCCACTTGCAAGAGCTCCTGCAGGATTGGTCAGAATAACGCGGACGTGATTACGGGTCGCCCAGCAACGGGGTGGGGGTCGGGCTGTGCCTGGACGTCAACGCCCCTTCCCTGCGGCCTGGAGGATAAGGAAGCTTAGCTCCGTCTCCACAATCATAGAATGTCACCAGATTTTACTTCCAGCTGAGCGGCAGTGCAACCTCCTCGGCGTTTTTACCATCATTCTTCTCTGGCTCCGCCCCCTTCACGCGAGCTGCAGAGTAAATCCGGAAACTGGATTACAGCGACCGAGCCGACCGAGCGGCTCCGCGCGGTGCAGTACGCAGGCGCGAGCGTTTGGGTCCGGACGCGCGCGGCTCTCGGTTGAAGCGGGAGTGAGTTCCTGGGCGCGAGACCCGGCAGTGGGCGGCTGACTGCAGGGTGGCCCGCGTGTCCTCTGCCGCCATGGCAGCCCTGCGCTATGCGGGCCTGGACGACACGGACAGCGAGGACGAGCTGCCCCTGGGCTGGGAGCAGAGAACCACCAAGGACGGCTGGGTTTACTACGCCAAGTAAGAGGGCTGCAGGGGAGCCGCCGGGGGGCCGCCGGGCCTGGGACACACCTGGAGTGGGACGCACCTGGACCCTGACGGCCTCGAGTGCCCGGGACACGGCGCTGCCCTCGAACCCCCCTGCGCGGGGTGGGGCGCGTGCCCGCGTCCCAGCTTGGCGAGGTCGGGCGAAGCGGCAGTGCGGTTAAGGAGCTTCCAGGGTCCTGAGCTGGGACCGGTCCTCTCTCTGGGGCCTGGGTCGGCCGTGGCCACCTGGCAGCGGCCAGGCGCGCCCTCTGCTGCTCAGGAGGCAGCACTGCGGTGCAGTGATGACAAACCGGCCTTATCCCTTCCTCCCCCCAAAATCAGGGGGGAAAAAAAATGCAGGTGCCCAGCTCCCTCCTCGAGGGACCTAGGAGTATGTATTCTTAACAGATGTCCTAACATAGCTATGTATATGTGTATACAGACGTGTGTGTACATTTACTATATTACAGCGTCATTATAGTTTTCCCGGGAAAGTTTCAGAAACACTAGCAGACCCTTCTCCCTGCACTTACTGTGTGACCTTGCACCATTGAAAGACCTCCCAGTCAGTTTTCTCATCTGTAAAATGGGTCTGTATGAGTCTTAGTTCAGGCAGCGTGCATAAAACACTTAGTGTTTCCTGCTGTCTCAGCAGCTGTGACAGTGCCTCCAGAGGCCTGATGTGAGAATCACCTGGAACTGTGGAGGTACAGCTTTCGGTCTCCACGGAGACCCTCACGGAGCGGACACCTAGCAGACACTTAGCGTGGGGAATCAGCATTTTTTAAGCTTTCCAGATGAGTCAGGTTATGACTTAGCTTTGAGAAACATGGTTGTAAGTCAGCGGTTCAACATCTGGTCAACTGAAAACATATCTTTTCCTCGGTTCTACCGCCAGAGATTCTCATTTAATCGGTTTGCCCCTCCTCCCCATTGGTATGTTGTAAAATCTTCCCAGGTGATTCTTATCTACCCAAGGTTGTGAACCAATAGCAAAATAAGACCTCGCTGGGTTCATTCAAGACTCATTGGCATCTTATGTGCCAGGTGCTTTGCTGGGTCCTGGTTAGACTGAGATAAAGGAGATGCAGTTGTCACCCTTAATGAGTTCTCAGTCTTACAGGGCAGAGTGACACTGAGGTAGTCCAGGTGCAGTGTGGGTAGTGAGCAGCAGTCTGTCTAGCAGGAGGCCTGTGTGGCTAGTGGGCACCTCAGGAGAGACGACCTGGTGGAGCTGGCACCTAAGCTGCCTTAGAGCACAAGCAGAAGTGGGTGGGTGGGTGGAGGAAACAGTACAGAGCCCCCTGCATGGCCTGTGTGGCGATGGAGGAAGGAGAAGATCCAGGAACAGGAGGAAGGGCTGAGCTTATGGAGGCCCTTTTGTGCCTCATGGGAAAGCTGGGGCTCTGTCGTCAGGACCCTGGGGTCCAGCTGAAGGATTGGAGCCAGTGTGTTTAGAAAGATGGTTTCTGCTCTGGAGAATTGAAGGGCCAGTGCTGGCAGCAGGGAGTCATTAGGCTGCTGCAGGGCTCAGGCAGCTCCTGACCGGGCACCTGCTGTTCTGTGCCTTTTCCTGAAGGGCCCTTACATCCCGCAGCGCTGGGCTTAAATGCACTACCCCAGAGACCTTCCCTTTCTACCCCAGCCCTGCACCCTCCGCCCAGCACCTTGTTATCAGCCTCCTGGTATTTAGCATTGTCTGTAGTTCTTATCCTACTCTTCCCTGAGTGCTCTGTCCCCTTCCCTAGATTGAAAACTTCACGAGGGCAGGGGCTTTTTCTTATTCACCTCTGTATTCCTAGTGCTTAGCACTGAAATAAATCCATGTGGAAGGAGTAAATTAATTCATCTAGTGAGGGGTTACCATAGGCCTTTGTTGGGGGGGTTACTAGGCCCTGGGAATGAGAAGATGCACACAACCTGCTTTCTGCTTTGGGGCCCTCCTCCCGCGCCCCCTGTGCGGGGCCTGTCCGTGTTCTGGCCACTTACCTCAGGCTTCCTGGCTTCCCTTCAGGTTTGCCAGGAGCCTGGTGTTAGGTCCGTAGACTCCCTGGCATGTGCTCACCCTGCCTTTTCCCCTGTTCCTATCGCTATGTTGGGTGGCCTTTCCCACCTGCTCCTTTCCAGAGGGCATCCACTGGACTTGGGGCTCTTCGCTCCTCTGAGAGCTTCCCGGGAGCCCACGGCCAGAAGGGTCAGTGACACATACATGTTCTCTGAAGAGCCACCATCATCGTTTTAGATCTCAGACTGGCCTGTCTGGCCCTGATGCTTACACTGACTGGTGACAAGGCTTGGCCGCTTCCAGCTGGCGGGCACTCTCTCCAGAACTTTCCAGTCCTCTGTTCTTCGGTTCTCAGGGCTGCAGGATGCCTCTCAGCAATCCTAATCCTGGATTCCTAGCAGTCCCCTTGATCTCTCCTGACCTGCAAGCATCCTGGCTGCCCTTCTCCCTCTGAACTCGGAAGGGGTTACTTACTTGTCTTTTTCTCTGGGTTTGGGACCTTTACTAATGAGCTCTCGGAAGATTGCCTTCTCAGTAGTTCCTGTTTCCAAATTGTCTTTCTCCTATTGCAACAGGGCCATGTCCCAGGACAGAGGCTGTAGCCCCAGTGAAACCCGGGGTCTTGTGGCGCCCCATTCAGCCTTGCCCTCTTCTTTTGTGTGGCTTCTCTTGGCTCCTGTGCTTCCCCACATGCCCCACTGTGCAGGGTACACGCATGTCATCCGACCCAGGGCCACCAGTCTGGGCTCCCAGGGAGGGGATGTTTCTGCCACCAGGGAGAGCCGACAGGCCTTTCTCCCCTACGTCTGTCTAAACCAGGAGCTGGGCACAGGAGGATGAGATCTCAGTGGCCGGGGCTGTTGCTGCAGCCGCCAGGGCCTCCCTGGGTGGGCCAGCCAATCCCCCTTTTCTTCTGAAGCCCTTTTGGCAGCCAGAGGGCCAGCTGGCCTTGCCCTGTGGGGAGGCGGCTCCCTCTTCCCAGGGCTGGCTCTCCTCACGGGCTCTCCCCGTGAACGTAAAGAAACTGTGCTTTAAAAATAACTTTAGAAGAGCATACTTGAAAATGAAATCCATGTAATATCGTAAGAATTTGATTTTGATTCCTTTGGCTTACATTAAGATCACTGTTAATTATCTTTTTAAATGACAAAAAGCTTATTGAGAGAAAAATAAAAAATAAAAGAGGGCTTCTATGTAAGGGAGAATAAGATAACACTTTGGGGACATGTGTCGTAATTTTTTGTTCATTAAAAAGTCATTTTAGGTTACAATTAAAAAGAACAGTTCTTAATTAACTTTTATATGTAGGTATTAATACTTCTATGTGAAAGGCCTGGTTCTTAGTTCTTTGCACATTAACTCATTCGGTTCTCTTTAGCCCCAAGAAGTGAGTGCTATTTTTATCCTCATTTTACTAAAGGGGAAACTGAGGCACGGGGGGGTTAAACAACCTCCAAGGACACGTGGCTGGTGAATAGGAGAGCCAGAAAACGTGGGCATCAGGCTGTGGAATCCTTGAAACCAAATTACATACTCTCTTCACCTCAGTTAGTCCCAGGGTCCTACTACAGGGTCACTGTGCCCTGCAGGGGACGGTTGGCAGTGTCTGGAGACACTTCCTGTTGCCACCACTGCCGGGAGTGGCATATTGGCATGTGGTGGGTGGAGACCAGGGGTGCTGCTGCTCATCCCACAATGCACAGGACGGCCCCACAGCAAAGAGCCATCCAGCCCTCTGGCCCGGGTGGGAGCGTAAGACGCCCTGGCCTAGGCATCATCTGTCAAATGAAGAACAGGACATGACAGTGTTTATTTTTTTATTACTACTTTTTAGTATTTTTCAGGATGTTCCGAGTGAATGTTTTAGCTCCGAGCTGGTCGGTGTGTGACGCGTGGGGAAAGCACTTATTCATTCCACCTGCTTACATTTGAGCAGCTACCCATTACATGGCCGGGTGCAGGCTGGGTGTCTGAGGGTTCATCTGGATGCTGCAGTGTCAACACTCCACTCCTTGGGTCACTTAGTGGATTCTTGAGGGCAGACGTTTTGGGTTCCAGACTTATTTGATAGGTGCCTATGGGATGACAAGTCCTTTTAACATCAGGCGAAGGAAAATGTGACCACATCTGTAAATTTACCTGAAAAAGCAGGAGGTACAGCAAAGCCTAGAGCAGGAAAGCTTTCTATTGTTGCCAGTGCTTGGCTTATCTGATTGCTCTTCCCTTAGTTTGCAGGAAGCAGGGGCTGTGCCTGCGAGGGGCAGGTTATCCTTGTTAGGGAGTCAGGCTGCCCTTTCTGCAAGTAGAATTTCATGGTCGTCATGTGCAAACAAGTAGGAGTCGGTCCTTGCTGCTGACACCCTTTGTGTGCACGATAATTTAATCAGTCACTGAGCACTGTCACAGGTCTGGTGTCTCCTTCACAGGGGTGTGTGGCCAGGGAGACTGGCTGACTGAATACACACAGTGCAGGAGCTCAGGTCTTCTGCCTTCTGAGGCCAGTGTCCAGGCTGTCCCTGCACTGGTCACTGAGACTTGACAAAAATGACCAGAAGCCAGCATTTCCTGAAAAGACCTTGCTTTCGACTTTTGCAGCAAGTTTATGCTCTATTTATTCTCTATCAAATAACTGATAGGGAAGGAATAAAATATTTTCTATTTTGGCATGGGTATGTGAACTTAGGAATCTATCCTCTCTTTCGAATGACTCTTGAAACATCTAGCTGTTTCCCTGATTAAGTAATTGTATATTTTCCTTGATGCTTTATCACCTGTTGGCGGGTGTCTCTAGTCTGTTGTTGGCTTATGATTTTAATTATAACTTTGTGTGCTCTTCTGAGATGAAATGCTGAGTGTGACGCAGAAATTCGACTAGTTTGTATATTTGATTTGTTCAAAATAATAGCTAGCACTTTTTTTTTTTTTTTTTTTTTATCCTCACCCGAGGATATTTTTTTCCATTTTTTGTACAGATAGAGTGGGAGGGAGAGAGAGGAAGGGAGAGAGAGAGAAACATTGATGTGAAAGGGACACATCGAGTGGCTGCCACCCGCATGACCAACCAGGGCCGGGGACAAACTGCAACCGAAGTACGTGCCCTTAGTGGGAACCGAACCCAGGTCTCTCTGGACCGCAGGCCGATGCTCTAACCGCTGAGCCAAACTGGCCAGGGCTAGCTAGCACTTTTGAGTGCTTATGGACCAGGTACTGTATTTAACCCTTTGTATACAATATCCTCATAACATTCCCCTAAGATCAGTGCTGGGATCATTTCCATTTTGCAGATGAGGGAGTTAAGGTCCCCAGGTTGAGTAACTTTGACCAAAGGCACACAGCTAGGTGACTTATGGAGCTGTCTTCCTGCATTTTTAATGATCGCTCAGAAGAAATTAGGACTCAGTAGTTAAAAAGCACTTTGAAATGATATCTGTGGAAAGAATAAACATTTAAGAAGGTTATAGTTATATCTAAATGATTTCTAAATATCAGCATTATGAATTTGACTGAAGTTTGTCAGTCTATCCTGGAATAAAACTAAAAGCACCTCTCTAGATACTTTAAGTGCTTGAGCTATCTTCCTGAAGTCGACCGCAGCTGAGGCTTGGGACCCCCCCCCCCCCACAGCCAGTGTGCGAAGGTCCACTTGCGGGGAATTCCACAGGTTGCTGCTGCTTCCACTCTAGGGAATTGGACGTGCTGCAAACAGTAACATTTATGTTCTACTTCTTTCTGAATGTCTGGCTTCACTACTCTTGAGAGCGAGTATTATTTGGGAGAGAAAAAAATCTAATGCAATGGATTAATTTTTAGAGGTGTAACTTTTACTTATTGTTGTTTTCTGGATTTTTTTTTTTTTTTAATAGTCACACTGAGGAGAAGACTCAATGGGAACATCCGAAAACTGGAAAAAGAAAACGAATAGCAGGAGGTTTGTATTTTGTGGTCATAAAGCAGAGCACCTTTTGTGTAAAGCATTGATCAGATGGGAAAACATCACCGGCAGGGAGGTGACAGGTCGCGTGTCCTTCTGGGAAGGCCCTCCAACAGGGAACCGTCAAGGGACTGGACTCTCCCTCTAGGAGCTTATGGGATTTGGCAGAAGGAGGTGCTGAGGTCTTGGGGTGCAGTGGTGAGGATGATTTCTTACTGGTCTTAAATTAAAAAGTATAAAAATAATAGAGGCCTTTGACTCCCAGCTTATTAGATTTTTCTATAGCTGCACTGTTTGTAAACTTGTTCTTGGTTTTTATCATGGAATTAAAGATACCAGTGTTTGATGGGATTCCATCAAGATCGCCATAACTTACGGGTGCTTTTGAAGAGGTGTGTCACCCAAGGAATAGAAGTATAGGAAGTTCTGGTTGAAGAGACAGTATGTACCTGTGAAAAAAAATGCAACTGCTCTATAATATTGTATAAGGAACATTGTAAGTCAGCATACAAATGGTGTTGTAAAGATACGTTCTGTGAATTTATTCAAGGGACAGTGCACATTGATTGGAGCAACCAGTAAGGTTTTCGTCAAAAGCAGGAGCTGAAACTGAGTGGAGAATGAAACAGAGTTTTATTTCTGGGCAAGAGGCAGGAATGTGGAGTCTGGTTGGGATAATGGGAGAGCAGCGACTCTTGGTCTGGTGGGACAGGCTTCGGGGGACCCTGCTTCAGTTCACCCCATCCCTGCCTCGTGTAAACTGGTCAGTCTCTCCTGTGTTTCAGATTTGCCATATGGATGGGAACAAGAAACCGATGAGAATGGACAAGTGTATTTTGTTGAGTAAGTGTCTATATAGAAACTGTTCTCAGCCATTTTACTTTCTGATATTTTTCTACAATGTATATTACTTTTATAATAAAAGTAACTGTAATCTTAATGAGAATAACTACTTTTAACAATTTTTGCATTTATTCATCCAGTCTGTTTTATATACACACATTTTCTTTAAAAAAGAAAGGATGGAAATGTACTTTGTGAGCTGTTTAGTAGCTTGTTTTTTCCATATAATGTGTTTGTGAGCATTTTCTTATATCTTTATATATTTTCAAAATGATGTTTAATGTCTGTAGAGTATTATTTTGTAGAGACAGTGGGCGTTGGTGGTGTTAAAGTCCTGTTACTGGGCAGCTGTAACTCTAAATGTTTTGGGCATCCTTGTCTGTAAAACTCTGTTTAGAGTAAATTCCCATAACAAACAGTAGTAACCACCTGTCTAGCACTTCTGGTGAGCCAGCCATGATTCTAGTCACCTTCTACCTGTAGAATTATCTCATTCAGTCCCCACAGTGCCCCAAGGGAGGCGAGCCGGCACCGGCTGTCCTGGTCCTCTTACCTCCTAGTGCCTGCTAGAGCGGTGTGCTGGCAGATGCTCAGCCAGCTCTCTGGGGGAAAGCCCAGATTCCTTTCCACGGTGTAAATACCTTCACCACAGCCTGCTTGAGCTCCCAAGGCGAAGTCATGGAGGAGCTGAGGGGAGAGAGGGTGCAGGTGGGGCCCTCGTCAGCCTGTGTGAGCCGGTCGGTGTGCGACGTGTGTGAAACGCTGATCTGGAGAGAGGGCTATGATTGAAGTGTAAGTTAGGTGACTCGTGGGTCTCAGCATTTTAAGATGATTGATGAGTACAGATGTAAAACTACGTATATTTTTACACACACACACACATGGCAAGTGATGAAATCTCACCTCTTTCTTTCTGTAAGTGCTTAATAGTTTTTAAGGTATCTTGAGATCTTTATCTCAAATCTCAAGAATTTAAAATGTTAAGGACTGTTATGTAAGGAGTAGCCTATTCATTCTTGTATATTTTAATATTGTTTGTACACAATTTAGACCAACTCCAAATCAACATTAGAGTGCTTGTAGGAGGTATGAGTACTGTCTTGAAAGGAAAATCTTTAGAAATTTAGTAGTTGGTCAGTTTCATATTTACTATTAAGACTTACCAGTTTGAGTTTTATACTTTTCTACCAGTCTTCTTAGGCCCTTGCACAGGGTCAAGAGATTTAACTGAAATCTACTGAAAAGAGTGACTGACTGATCTTATAGCAACATTTACATGAATTAAAAAAAAACCAAAGCCGCCATCTCTTTTGAGATATAAGGATACAAGGCAATGCTTATTGTATGTTGTAGCGTATTTTGTAGGTAGTTCTGAAGGAGAGGAGTAGATGACTATTTTTCCAGGCAGGAATGTAATCCTTCTTGAGGCCAGAAGATAGACTAAAAGGACTTCAGTTCTTTCCGGGCTTAAGAATAAGCCTTCTTAGTACATGAAAAGTGGGGTTTGCCTAGCCTGAATTACAATGTTATCTTACATTTATAAATGCCCATGTTCACTGCTTCCTCCTCTTCTTTGCAGCCATATAAATAAAAGAACTACCTATTTGGACCCAAGATTGGCATTTACTGTGGATGATAATCCTACAAAGCCAACCAACAGACAGAGATACGATGGTAGCACCACAGCCATGGAAATACTCCAGGGCCGGGATTTCACTGGCAAAGTGGTGGTGGTTACTGGAGCTAATTCAGGAATAGGTAGGTCATTAACTTACAGTTATTATTATTGTTATTGTTTTGTTGTTGTTAGGACTGCTGTAGTGAAATCTTGTACAGTGATTTTCTAATTTTAAAATGTATATATAGCCTTTTCAGCTATCGTTTAGTTAAAATCCTGCTCTCTTTTAAAATCCCAGTGTTACTATGGAAGGCTATGTAGGGTCCGACCTTGAATTCTCTGAAAGCTGAACACTCAGCAAAAAATCATGGCTATTTTGGTAGTCAAGGATTAGAGACAAGTCTTCATCTAAGAGTTTCTGATCTGGTCTGTGTGGTGTGTGGACGTACTCCAGTTACTTGGGTAATGGAATATCGGGAATAATCATCATGATTTTGGATCTAAGGATACTGCAGGTTTCAGTTGGTCACTGAAAATATTTTCCTTTGGGTAAGGGATTTTATTAAAATTCGCAAAGTTAGAAAATTAGTCCTTGCCTTAACCTCTAAATTAACCCTCTTATTGATGGGATTTAACTGTAGTGACCATCATGAGGTAGGCGGCTCGAGGGAGTGCTCTTCCCGTAGCATCAGGGGCTGGTAAAGATCCCTGTACAGTAACTCGCCGTAGGACTTTATTCTGCCTTTGTTTTTGTCCATTTACATCAATATCTGACTCTGAAAGAACTGCTTTGTGTAAGGATACACATCTTAATTTATGGAGACAAAAATAGGATTGCATTCAGCTGTCTTCTGGCAAGTTCTCTCTGCTCTTTGACTGCTCCCAGTCCCAGTGCCCCCCTTGTTGGTCTTCCCTTTCCTGCCCCTCTGTGCATGTCCTATACCTTCTCCTTCGTCTTTCTTCATTTTCGGTAACCCCTTCTTGAACCTCCAGAAACATTCCCTAGCACCATCAGCTCAAGCGCAGGGGGTGAAAATACAAATTAGAGGAATAATCATTGTAGAGGTCTACAAATTAACCAGCTGCAGTCTCACAGTGGAACTTCTGACTGCACTTGTCTGTGAAGGCAAAGAAGCAAGTAGAGTTTGTTTTTTTCTTTTTAATTGAAAGGGGTTTATTTAAAATCAACTTACAGACCTCAACCTGGGCTCACATATGTTCAGCCCAATTTTCTGAACTTATTTTTGGATGAATTTTATGTAGTTGTCATTGATAATCAAAACTGATGACACTATATTAACAATAATGGTTAGATCCTCAGTCATCCAAGAAAAAATATGTTGTATTCATTGCATTGACTAGTGTTATGTGAGGGTGTTGACCAATCAATACAGTGTAGAATAATTAAGAAAAAATAAGGACTTAAGTGAAGTATCTTTTTATTTAACACTTAGTTAACCGGAAAATTGACTAAGAGATTTTATTCCTTTAATCTTTTGCCTCGACTATTTTTTCTTTACTTAGATATGTGAATACTGCTGATTTTCGGCATAAGTGTTTGTACTTTGTCTGATACTAGATAACAGACCTTTGGCTGCGGCTAATGCTCTGTCAGGGATTTGCAACACCAGGCTTATGACATAGTAATCCTGGACTAATAGAGTTGGTTCTTACAAACAGCTATGTTGAGTTGGATATTTAATCATGATCGAGCAGGAGGAGGAGATTCTGAAGCATGGAGAGTAAATGTGTTGTTGATCAGAATGGACCTCAAACCACTTTGAGGAAAGTCCCAAACTCTGTGCCTCTTCACAACTCCCATGTCCCCTTGAAGACTTCCTTCTTGATGTCCATAATCCATTTCGTGGACGCTGTAAGTAGGTGTCTTTGGTGCAGACAGATATAGTGGCAAATAATAAAGCTCAGGATGAAAGACCTTGGGAAGGTCCTAGGAAGACGAGTGCTTTCTCTGCAGACACCGGCAGCTGCTTGCCAGCTCAGACCTTGCCTCAGAGACGCCCTTACAGCACCCCTCACCCGCCAGCCCGCTCCGCCCCTAGAGCACACATCTCGGTGAGTGCTGAAGACTTTATTCTGAGTTTTTGAAATAATATCATACTGAACGTTACAAGCAATCAAATCCTTGCAAATAACTTCCACTCTGCAGCAGTGGTGGTATCAGGCTGAACGAAAAGAGGCTGAAGATAGGCACAGGGCTTTTCATCGTGACTGAGCTCGCCCTTCTGTCCTGTGTGGCTGCCTTAGAAGGTGCCCTTCCCGGGTAGGCTGCGGCTTCCAGATAAAGTCCTTCCTTCTACTGCACTGTGAAATATGCCAATTTTTAAATTGCTATCACCACTTTATTCCTGACCATTTCAAATCAAATAGCTGAATGCAGAGTGAATCGGGCTTCTTCGTTTCCAAGACTTCTGGGCATTTGAGTCATCTTCCGTCAGAGCTGTAATGGGGTTGGTGTTCCCTGTCCTCCTGCCGCGCAGGGAAGCCTGCCTTCTGGGTATCAGCTGTCCAGCCTTTAGCCTGTGAACGTCTGTTCTCTCTGAGGCAGAGTAGGCTGAAGCAAACATACCCGTATCTATTTGGAGAGCGGTGACTACGACTGAAAACATAGGTAACCTCGTGTTCTTGACAGACGGGTTTGCCATCTGATGTTTCCAGTGATTTAAAAAGAAAAAAAAAGCCCCATAAGGCACTGCTTTGCTGGGGTTGCTGTTGCTGAGGTTCTCTCCCTGTGGACACAGATGACCAGGTGGTGAGGGGTCAGCATTCCTCCATGAACTCTGGATTGTACTAGGACACTGCCCCCTTTGAAGCGGCCTCTAAGCAGATTTTGTATTGTCGACTTCTTCCCCCTGCTGTAAGTGATACAGATTCATATTTTGAATTTTTGATATTTTACTTTACTAAGGCAATTGGAGGGACTACTGATTAATTCAACTGAAAAAAGAGCAAGGTGATTCTGGAAGGATTCTGAGGCAGTAACCGGGATAAAGCGTCGTGAGTTCATGAAACCTTGGCTTTTACACTTGAAGTTTATAGCCAGGTCTGACTGCTGACCGAATTCCACTGTCCAGATTGGGGGTTGGCAAACTACGGCTCGGGCTGAACCTGACCCGCCGCCTGAGTTTGTAAGTGAAGTTTCATTAGAACACAGCCATTTCCATTCACTTCCATTTTATCTGTGGCTGCTTTCGTGTTACTAGCAGAGATTAGTAATTATGGCAGAGACCGTATGTCCTGCAAAGCCTAAAATATGTACTACCTGGCTTTTTACAGAAAAAGTTTGCCAGCCCCTGCATTAGATGATCTAATTCCTTTCAAAGTTAGATCACCCCAACATTCTCCAAATTTGACACAATTTAGGTAAAATTGAGGTATATTAGATGTCCCCAGGCCATAGGAAGATTGCGGCAGTACATCACATGTAACTCCTGGGACGTCCCACCAGTATCCTGCACCCTTGCCTCAGGTCTGTGTCCCCCCTAGTTAGGGGGCTGCAAACATTGCCATGTTGCCTCCTCAGAAACTAACACTGTTCTCTCCTTGACCTTTGTTTGACCAGCACTCTGAACACGAAGACCTTTGTAGATTGAAAGCTGTAGCTTGTGGACCTCTCTGTGTGGAGATCAGCATCTCAGTATCCAGGGGGAAGTCATCTCTTCACCTAAAGCTTCTGCTAGACCAAGAGGCCCGGACCCCACAGTCCTGACTGCTAACCCGTAGAGGCAAGGGAGGAACTCACTGTTTGTGCTCCCCGTAGCACTGCGCAGGAGCGGCAGGCGCTTCGACACCTGGAGTTAGGGCTTTGACTCTTGTTGGGCAAACATGGATGGAAATGGCTTCGACATGGTGATCATTATATAAATACAAATGTTATTGCGAAGTCTCAGGAGAGAATTTCTCGTCCTGGGAGATCCCATAGCTTCTTTTCTAGGCACAGCCTGTCAATCAAGCTAATTTGGCTCTGCAAATAAATAGTTAAGTATAACATGCTGCTTTCTTGAATCTGAGGGCTGGCATGTGCTCATTAAGGCAGGATACTTCTAATGAAGGGTTAGTTGAATCCCTAAATGTGGGACACTGCCTGCCCTGTTTACGATTTCTTCTTAGGGACAGTTGTTGAAACTCGTGCAGTGTGTTTCAGTGAGCAGACCGATGTATCGTCATTGTATTTAAGGCATGGAACCCAGGTATTGTCAGACATCCATTTTAAAACGATTAATTATGAGCAAATTAGATATTTTCAGTCTATTGTTCATTGGTAATGATGATGAAACTTTCCTCTTAACTGCCCGTCGTAAACCAGTAGTGGGTGTAGTCTGATGAGCGTTTCGTCAGGACGAAAGTCCCTTTCACGTTCTGAGCCTCCCGAATGGGGCTGCGGCAGATGCCAGTGCTTTAAATCTAGAAGAGTCTGGGCTGGCGTGGTTTATGAGCCAGAGGATCCATCACCCCCCAACCCCCCCGAATAAACACAAGCTTGGCACCTTGGCATATACCAGTAAAATATATTTTAGGACTGAACCTTCAATTTTCTATTTGTTATATAATCACCTTCCTAAGGTTTACTACAGGGATTCTAATATGTGTGCATACATACATATACACACACATACTTACATATCAAAATTTATATATTTTGAGAGGTAAAAAGTCCATGCACAAGCTCTCAAAGTCACCCCTAAGTTTATTCTTTTCGGTAACGGTACCAGATTTCCAATGCAGGAATCCCAAACTGTTACTGTAGTGTAATGTGGAAGTCGGCTGCTGTGGCTTAGAGAACCTGCTTGTTAAGCTCAGGTTCTCATTCCTGAACCGTGTTGCAGTTACAGTGTGAAGTCTAGTTGCCATATTCATTTATTCACCATGATGAATTCACATCTTGTGTAAATTCTACCGGTTTTCTCGTAATACGAGAAAATTACTTTTCTTCATGTAAAAAAACGTATTCTTAAGATTTCTAAATCCACACTTCACAATTATGAACTAGACTAGTTTTCTTTACACCTTCAGTTCTTGGTTTTCTTTTCCACACCCTAGTGTTACTGAATTTTGCCTTCCAGCTTAAACCATGCTATTGACTGTTCTCAGTTATTCTGAAAGACCCTGTAAATCTGAGGTC